AAACGTTGACTAGCTGGGCATTTCCCACTGGGTTGAGTATTGCGCAAGTATCATTCATTTAACCGAGTCTCAGTAGGAGACTTTCCAAAGATGAGCTACCTTTCGCTGATAACAATGCCTGATTACTGTCAACCCTCATCGTATTGATGCATTAACGCCTGCTATCTATCACGGCGCTCGGATAGGGCGCGAGTCTCCTTAATTCTTGGTGACTGTGGTCAGAAAATACGCGGTGCCTATAGAATGTGAGCTCCAGATTTCAGAATTTAGCTTAGCAAACGAGAAGAAACCAGCGCAGCTTGATTGTTACGTCTATCGCTTCTACAGTGGAATTTACAGCGTGCGCTATGGTGGCGATCTGATCTATCGGGAGAACTGCACGACTTTCCTGCGTTGTCTTCAAAAAGACAGCCGCGTGGATGTATCCCATGGTATCAGCGCTTGTCAGCTGAAGATATTAGTTGGCGGACAAGTTCTATCACATTTTTCACATTAGGCTTTCTTTCTATAGAGAGACGCGTAAGATCTCACTACAGTATGTCGAAGGTCAATTTTCCAAAAGCTCCTTTGAGCCACGCCCCTCGTCTTCAGTCAAAACTGACGCTACTTCGCTGACGTTTCCTTCGTGTGAATTTGTATCTGGTGCTTATGGTTATCTGGTGGTTACGTTTGTAACGTTTTTTTCCTTCGTGTACGTTGGTATCCGCAGGGAGCGATGGTCATCTGTTAAGAACAGTCGCTCCCGAATTATCTTGTTATCGGATTAGATAGACATATTTGTAAAAGGCACACAGCGCTGAATTTAGCTAGAAGATCTGTCATAGGACAAACGAAGATCCTAAGTTGAGCAGAGCTTCCAATTCTTTGCCAGTTGTGTCTGTTCCGATCACCGCATGTTTTGATGGGGGTCGCATCAGGTGAAATGAAATGGAAAGTGAAATAAAATAAATTCCGAGGATGAGTTTGTAATCGAAGGGCTGCCTGTTCTCTTGAAGTTCAATTCTTACGCGATTCCTGTGAGCACAGCACTTGATTTGGCTTGGAAATCGCTTGCTATACGTAGCGATCCAAACTTTTCTGAAGGAAACTTTTCGTAGTTGTGGTTTCGTGTGCGCAATGTGATCTCCGACGTCGACATTTAGCAGTCTAACAGCATTATGTATACACATCTATTGTTTTATAGAATTTGACGAAGGTGTTGTAAGCAAGCCGTGTTAATACTTTCGATAAACTTCATGTTGTGAAGATTGTAGTACTGCGTATTTATAGACTGATGACTTTATATGCTAACTCCCAAAAAAAGCTAACAAATAGTAGTTGCATAGACAAATTCTCAAAAACCCTTCGATGTGACGATTTATTATTTTGGGCGCTTCAATCTTGGCGGTTATTGTTTTCTGCATACTTTATATTAACCATTTCACTGGCAACTCACAAAGCAATGGAAATTGTCCGCTGCAGAGCCTTGAGCCTTCTGGCAGTCAGCGTTTTCATGGCAAAGTACGACCTCAGGATGGCCTGCTTGAGTCGCTTTTGTTAATGGATGCGATCTTTCCTTAGCATCGCTTGCCATGCACATTTGATCTCTGTCTAAAAAGAAATGACATTATACAGATGGCAGTGATGCTCTGTTAATCTTTTGAGTAGCGCCATACTATCGTGCGCAGCGAAGCGTCGAAATATGCAATTTGTGAGACATGGCCCCTGTGAGACATGGCCCCCGAGTGACACCAGAACCCTTACCATCGTCTGCTCTTTTCTCTGAGTTGGCCGCATGGATACCTACACAACTTACGAGGAAACCTAAGCCTGCCAAACCAGCCGGTGACGCAAAGTCACAGTTGCGTGCGCTCCCCTATTGCAGATCCCCCGCCAGCAGTATCTACCTTCAGATGCGTCGTACTTCTCCATGCACCCCGCATGCAGATGTAAGATGTTTTATATGGGACCTATCAACTCATTTGCTGCTTCTCATCATAACTCTATGGAGAGCCATCATGCCGCCGAAATACAGCTAGTTTACCAGCCGGGTTAACGTTCTTATAGATAAAGGAATAGAAATCAGTAGTGCATCAATCATTGAGCCCGAAAAAGTGCACGGCATTATTTTCTGTTTAGCTAGCATTAGCAGAACGTTGGTGCCGAGCGAGGCTCCAACACTGTTGCCTCGATCTATTGTTGCCGCTTTCTGTCGCCAGGCGTCAACGTCCCCATCTTGCAATCAACGTCATAAGAGATGGAACCGTATCCCTATTGGTGGCGTCTTTTTGCGAGGGGCGCTAGAATTTGATCCTAACTTTCTGATTTGACGACCCGCTTTTCAGCGCTCTTATCGGCTCATAACTGTTCTGATACCATTTGCAACTGACCTGTTAAGTTCCCGTTCCCGTCCCACTGTCTAAATCACTTCCTGGAACTGACGTTCCACTATCGTTCGTGTTAACCACGCTATAATTTTGATGACCTCCTGTCCAACGTCCCTTTTCAAGTTATCATCACTTCCTGTCATCTACAACTAGTGTTTCCGACGCACACTCTACATTACATATTAGGAATAACGTCTCACTGCTGCTGGAACGGTCCCTTGAATTTCATAATAAACACGCAAGCATACACGCAGACATACTTAGCTTATTATATCTACTGGGATAATGACTTATCATGATAACTCACTAAGGCAGCACTGTCTGTCTCCTACTCCTTTAGAGCAGTAGTATACACCATCCGCAAACGAATACTTGCCAGAGGGATCTGTCTTGCATTCGTTGTCATCATTACAGCTCGACCCAGGTAGCAAAAACTGCAATGAATCCATTCTCAAGATCAATAGAAATTTTATTAAAGCTCATATAAAGCACTCACATCGTTCGGGTTGCAGTCACTTCTAACGTAATGGAACCGTATTAGAATCAGAAAGAGCAGAAATCTCATCGCAAAGCTGAAAACTCAAACAATTTTTGCTAGTCTATCGTACTCTGCCCTAGGAATAGCAAAAGCTTCAAAAGTTGAGTACTGGTTTGTCTAAAGATACTAATTCGGCTCACATTAGTCCTGGCTAACGCATCACACTAGCGGCTACTGCGCGCATAACATTAAACCTTGCGGAACTGATGCGTTTTTTGCCCTTTTTGTGATAGCAACAACCCCACTTCCCTTAGAATCACTTCAAAAATTTGGTACTCGGCCCAAAATGCTAGTAGGGCGCTATATAGCGGGCAAATGGCGTAAAAACGAAGTGAACGGTCAAAAACTTGCAAAGACTGGTCAAAAACTTGCAAAGAAGAAACTGCCACTTTCGTTTCGAAACGGCTCGAAAAAAACAAATGTTGGACGAGTTCCCTAGAGGCACTTGCCATTGACGCTACGGTAATTACGGCTTACTCATATATCCATGCAACACTGCAGCCGCTTCATTCTATCACTTCGCCTTATGTTGTTTACTAAGCAAACAAGCAGCACGGTCGTCCATTTGTGGGTGGGATAACTCCCTTGGAAAAGGCGCTACCCTGCGCTTGCTGTCAGACATCAATTACCCGTGTCTCGTGTTTATTCAAACTCAAAGACATTCAACGGTCGTTGGGCTCGAGTAGTCCATACAGTACCCAACGCCTCCTGTCAGACATGGTAATTGATGTCTGACAGGAGGCGCAGGGTACGGCTCAGTAGTGACATTAAATGTTTCCACATCTCATTATTAACCCTTTCGCAACAATAGTGAAGCAGTTTCCACATATTTTTTCCCTTATTAGCTCTTATCATCCATGT